GTTCATCAGGCTCTCGTAGTAACAGGATCAGTGATAATAATGACAATAAACACTTTGAGTCTTGGGTGACAGCTGAAAAGAGCAGATTCTCAGTTTAGGCTTTATTATTGATTTTGAGTTCTGATATATGGCTTTATAGAGAACATTAATGATTGGATGACAGCAGTTCTGCTATAGCTGCTATACCTACTCTATAATGCTACATGACAAAACACTTGTCACTTCACATTCCTTTGTGGCTACATATGGTCTGCTAAGAAAATAAATCTGAGCAGGGAGTTTCACTATAGAATTTGTGCAAACAGCTTAATGTATTTGTCCTGAGACTGGCAAGAATAAGGAGTGAGGGAAATCAGCTGTACATGGTCATGGTCTTAGGGCAGAGACAAACCAAGCACAGGATGAAAGCACTTTCCCAAACAATTCCCTTCTCGTGCATTGATTAGCTAATCGTAACACCCAGTCATAGTGGTACTCTCTCACTGACAAGGCATGATTGCTGGTGCCAATTCCACATGTCGAATTGGCCACCAAGCTGCTGACAGAGGATGACTAATGCTAACAGTGCGAGACACACCGGGAGGACGAGCCCTGATAGACAGTCACCGACCCAATAGTGGCCGACCGTCGAGTTATTGTGTCTCTGCCTTTATATTGTTCCATCACCTAACACTGTTCACTGCTTTGGTGATCAGTTTGACATGAATTTCACTGTGGGATTCAGTGATAACTGATAGATGGCTTTGGGTGGAAATGCAACACACTGTGATATTTCAGAAAAAAACACCAACATATGGGGTGGGTAAAATTATTCAAAGGAAATTCTACCTTGCATTGTAACCTACTGTTCATGTACATCAGCTAACTAGCTAATTCAGCATGTGTTAGCTATGTTAGCAATTTCTTTACTTGTACAATAGGTTACATTCTGCTATATCTATTGTTACCATTCACAGGAATTATTCTACAACAAAGTTGTAGCCTACTTCATATATCCTTAGTGGAGGCCTTATCGGCTATAAATAACATCCTGAGATGAGGGTACAGAGAAATGTCCAGTCAGCTGTTTGATCAGCTCGAGGATGCTGCAAATCACTAACATTCCTCCAGACACTGACTGTTGATTGACAGGTCATTCCTGTTGCCAGCTTACATTTTCAGTGCATATAACTTACTGTTGTTTTTACATTCATTCGATCTATAGGTGCTCTGCAATAACACTTAGGTGCTACGCCTAAGCCTTTCTGTGGGTGGGAAAACCCTGCAGATGCAGAGTCTGTTTCTTGTACTTATTTATTGAATCCAGTGAGTTAAATTTTGGATCTGTGCTCTGAACTTATGCAGATGAGCAGGAAGAATATCACAGAATACCACCCAGACCTGTTTGATCAAGTTCAGTCCTGTCTTTCTTTGGCATGAATAATAACAATGATGAATTTATTGAAATACAGAAATAATATAATATTTGAATGTTTTCCCTTTAAAAAGCTGTTTTTAGTTTTTATATCCACAAATGAAAAAAGGTTTCATGAGCTATAACATGCAGTGTATTGTTGGTTGAAACATTGTCCCTACTAAAGTGTGAAAGGGAGTAGTAAAACTGACATTTTTATTTACTTTTTGTAGTGCTGCATAAATCTGAATCTGTTTTAATGTGGAAACTGTTTCCTGTTTTCTTCCCTCATCTCTTCCAGAGTTGACACTCCCTCAGTTTTACAACTTCCTACATGAGATGGAGAGAGCCAGGGCCAGCATGGAGTGTTTCAGTTGAGTGTGTGTGTGTGTGTGTGTGTGTGTGTGTATACATGTCTATTATATTGTGAAGTCAAATTTTTGATGCCATTGTTGTGAGAACACTTAAGCTGGTCTCAGACCTTCACAGGGCTGTTTGAAGGGTAAGACTTGGTTTGAGGGTTAAGGGTAGAATTAGGTTAGATTAGCATTAGGGGCTAGGGAAGGCATTATGTCAATGAGCTGCAGAACAGTGAGTGGTGTTTATTACAGTGTGTGTGTGTGTGTGTGTGTGTGTGTGTGTGTGCGTGCGTGTGTATGGCACAGACAGCCTGTCAGTGACTGAAGCTGAACATAAAAAGAAATTTTGTAGCTTCCTGTCAGACATTTATAGTTAAATCAATAAAGATGAATACACAGAAGAAGCACTAATGTCCTGCAGTGTTTTGTAAACTTTGATTTATGTGGGAATAAAGCATCAATCCTGTCAATGAATTTCTTCTTCTGGCATTAGCAAAGGGACTGTTTTAATAGCTGAGATGTGAATGAAGCCCTGTGACAGACTGGCGACCTGTCCAGGTGTACCCTGCCTCTCGCCCAATGTCAGCTGGGATTGGCTCCAGACCTCCCTGCGAGCCTCTTCAGAATAAGTGGTGTAGACAATGGATGGATGGACATAAATGATGTCTGACATGTCGTCAATACTTACTCCTCATCTGTTGTGAAGACAAAGCTTCAGTGGACATTGTGGGAAAATTTTGGTGCTTCATTCCTAAACAAAAAGTGTGAAATGAGATAAAGTTAACCCACGGCCACCCAGACCTGTTTGATTAAATTCAGTCCTGTTGTTTCTTGGCATGAATAATAAAGTGATGCATTTATTGAAATATAAAGAATTGATACATACTGTATATTTACACATTTGCTGAGACACAGACACACAAGGCAGAACAGATTTTCACAGATTTTCACAGATTTTTTTACAGTGATACCTTTAAAAATGTTATTGCATAAAACTAAATATTAACAGATGAAAAGTAGACAAAATGAGTGTCGATGAAAGGACGGACAGTGAGAAATACCACAAACACTTATACTTTTAAACCTTGAGGCAGATGTCAGAGGGGTGGGCAGATAATAGTCCTCATTGTTCCACATTTCTGCTATTCTACCATATGCATAAATTAGCTCAGCAGTTGGGTGAAGTGATCTGACTTGCTCAGCAAATTTCATGGCAGTTTGCCCACTAGATCACAAGATATCTCATTTTAATTTCTAAGGCTTCTCTTTAATGTATTTTGGCTTTAGTGCTACCTTATTTATACATGGCTTTGGGCAAAAGGATCTCCCAAATGAAAAAAATGTCAGTGTTGTCTCTGAAGGTGACATTTTGGCACTAGAAGAAAGCTCCAACATAGAAAGCATGCATCCCCTGGGAGCACAAATGTCCTCAGTAAGATGTTGATAGTATAAAATCTGTGTACAGGTGAAACCAGACTAAACAGTCAAATTACTGTCAGGGGCATCACCATAACTTCTCAATGTAGGTTAGCATTTACAAAGATGTAATAAATGATTTATGCCACTAAATACAATCTGACAATAAGCTATTTTGAAAGTAATGGGTAAGATACATTAGTTTGCGAGAGTGTGTTCATCTAAGAGGAGGGCAAGATTTGCGATTGGTAAAACTTTTGGTAAGTCCTTTTAGTAGATCACCTTTTAGTAGGTTATATACATACATACATACATATATATATAGTAGCGACCTCCGGCGCGGAGGAGAGGAGCGAATGCTAACGGTGCAGCTGGCAGCTAGCGGGGTGCTAGGAGAAGTGCATTTGTGAGGTCAAACACTGATGTTGGACGAGAAGGCCTGGATCACAGTCTCCGCTCTAATTCATCCCAAAGGTGTTCTATCGGGTTGAGGTCAGGACTCTGTGCAGGCCAGTCAAGTTCTTCCACACCAAACTCACTCATCCATGTCTTTATGGACTTTGCTTTGTGCACTGGTGCACGGTCATGTTGGAACAGGAAGGGGCCAGTCCCAAACTGTTCCCACAAAGTTGGGAGCATGAAATTGTCCACAATGTCTGGGTATGCTGAGGCATTAAGAGTTCCTTTCACTGCAACTAACTCCTGAAAAACAACCCCACATCATAATCCCCCCTCCACCAAACTTTACACTTGGCACAATGCAGTCAGACAAGTACCGTTCTCCTGGCAACTGCCAAACCCACACTTGTCCATGGGATTGCCAGGCACAGAAGCGTGATTTGTCACTCCAGAGAACACGTCTCCACTGCTCTAGAGTCCAGTGGCAGCGTGCTTTACACTACTGCATCCGACGCTTTGCATTGCACTTGGTGATATAAGGCTTGGATGCAGCTACTCGACTATGGAACCCCATTCCATGAAGCCCTCTACGCACTGTTCTTGAGCTAATCTGAAGGCCACATGAAGTTTGCAGGTCTGTAGCTACTGACTCTGCAGAAAGTTGGCGACCTCTGTGCACTATCCATCTCAGCATCCACTGACCCCGCTCTGTGTTTTGATGTGACCTACCACTTTGTGGCTGAGTTGCTATTGTTCCCAATCGCTTCCACTTTGTTATAATACCACTAACAGTTGACTGTGGAATATTTGGTAGCAAGGAAATTTCACAACTGGACCTTTTGCACAGGTGGCGGCCCTGACAGTGGCATCCTATCACGGTACCACACTGGAATTCACTGAGCTCCTGAGAGCAACCCATTCTTTCACAAATGTTTATAGAAGTGTTCTGCATGCTTAGGTGCTTGATTATGTACACCTGTAACCATGGAAGTAATTGGAACACCTGAATTCAATGATTTGGATGGGTGAGTGAATACTTTTTGTAATATACATATATATAAATATATGTGTGTGTGTGTGTGCTGGAGTACCCAGAGAGAACCCACACAGGAACATGCAAACTCTGCACAGAAAGGCACTGGGTTGGTGGACTGCCACCATACAAGTACTGTTGGCTACTTCTCTCATATCACATTGGATGGAGTTGCCATCAGATTGAGAGCCATTGAAAGTGGCAAAAAATAAGCAGGAGGGCAGTGAGGGAAACGGGTAAAGATGTAAACAGGTTGTTGCATTTCTGTTCTTTTGTTTTGTGTTGCCATGCTGAACAGAGAACTTCAGAGTAATTTTATAATGCATCTTTTAATTTGTTAGTAAAAAGGTGCTATAGTGCTGTGCAACTGCTTTTCCATGAGTTAAATTTTAGCCAGTGTTCTCTGTTGTGTTGTCAGTGTGCAGTGATAAATCAGGCCCTGAGAAATTACTTTGGTTCACTAAAGCTACTACTCAAAATACTACTCAGAAACACTTCTTAAAAGATTATGTACATGTTGTTTGAAATGATATTCTGTATAACACAAAAAGCCACATACCAACATAAAATGTCACTCACTTGAGTTTATTACCTGAGGCCTAATCCTGTCCTAAATTAAACAATCCCATACGGGCTTTTCACAAGGAGAAACTTGCAAGAAATGTTACATTATTGTTGTAAACAAATCTGAATTTTGTATTATCTGACTAAAAGTAAAATAGTGTTGAGAAAAATATTTAACTTGCACCTTTTTAGACTTGAGCACTGATCTAAAAAATAGGCCTGTTGTGTTAAGCTTGATTTATGGTTCTGTGTTGAATCTGCGCTGTAGGTATGATGTTGGTAATGCATAGCCCCGTACATTATGCTGTACCCTGTAGCCTGATGTGCACCTCTCCATATATGTAACTACAGTACCTGTTGTGGCTGTGAGAGAAGCTTTCCCTGGGCCGGTGAGGGTCCAGTTCTCACCCACACAGTTCTCTATCTGCTGCCAAAAATCACTCAGTCTAAACAGTCTGTTGCAAAGTATAAGATTTAATTGGGAAAAAAACACCCCAATAGCATCTGTTTCTAGTTCATGGAGCGGAATGACTACAGGGCTTGAGACATCTCTTTTATACCCTCTATAGCTCTTCCTTGCCTGGGGCTTGCTTCATCTCACCTTCCTCTCTGACCTACTTAAGGATATACTATTATTTCATTGGTCAGTATAGGTTTCTAAATAAATAAACATGACCTCATATGGCAAATGCAAGTCATGGTGACTCCTTTAGGTTCAAGGCTAGGTTAGAAGGCTGACATTACTAATGAGCAAATAATACATTGACACATGTTTCTGATTAATGGTACTCTTCAAATCATCCAAACATCATAAACATGTCAAAAACATCATTAAAGTGACATGAAGTGACATGCAACACAACCCTTAACATCGCCCTTAAAACTTTGATCTGAGCTCAACCCTCACTCTGCTGCTGCACTGGAGACCGGACTGGCCAGCTCCAATTCAGCTAAAGTTTTGAGGTCAGGGATCATCTCTCTCTGGAAGTGATTAGAAGTTCCTCTGAACGTGAGATTTCCCAATCCTGATGCATTCGCGTCACCAGGAGGAATCCACTGCATGTGCTCCTTCTTCACCAGAGGTGCAGCTGTACCTTTCTATGGTCCATAGTAGTCGCAGACGCGATCTGTTGCCTCCAGTCCATGGTTCTTCATTGTGCTGTCAGCTCCCAGATAATGAGATGTGTTCAGTAGGTCTCGGTTGTCCATCCACCGCAACAGTTCCTCTTTTTTCACCTCGTTTATCAGTGCTATAGCAACCATTTGGGCTTTTTAGTAGCTTATAACCTAACTTTAAATCAGTGTAGATCACCATCTGTGTCCTAATCTGCCAAAATGATGGACAGCCTTGAAGATTTTTCATCATTAATAAAAAATTCCTTCAATTTCAGAGATATTTGGTTAACTGAACCTGTTTTGTATTGCATCACCATATTGCTCGGCGATTTGATACGTAAAAATAATTTATAGAAAGTCTACGCTTGATAAAAGTGGATATCTCAGATATAGCAATAGTGCATATGAACAGGTTTTAATAATATCTTGTGCCAAATGATTATACAAAAAAAAAAAGATTACAAAAAAGTCAAGTTCTTGTCTCCAACTTTTGAGTCTGAATGTTATTAATGCTCAAGTCCGCGTCCAAGTCCAAGTCATCAGTGCTGATGTCTGAGTTGAGTCATGAGTCCTAAAAATCAGGACTCAAGGCAGGAAACGTTAATGAAGCCACTGCCACTCATGTTGACTTGTCACAATGTGGCCGTATTGTACACCCCTACAACACTCCCCCTCACTCCCTGACCAATGCAACCCCATGTGTTAAAACACAGCATGGAGTTGCATTTTTGTCAGACTAATGTGAACGCATTGTCACACACACTGTCATACTGGCCTGGTTCTGTTATGTACTGATATCACGAGACAGCTTTTACCTCGATGAGAAATATTCCAATTACTTCCTGCCTGATGAGCCTGCTGACACTGTACTCCACACTATTATATCCCTGGATTCTGACAGAGTGATTTCCAGTTGAGCTTTTGCACACTTTAAAACTCCTTTTTGAAACTGGTTATAAGGAGTTTTTCTCCTCTCCTCCCCTCTCCTTTCCTCTCCTCTCCCCTCTCTCCATGCTTCTATATGCCACCATCACTAACACACATTACTAACTTTGTGTTTCCTCTCTCCCATAGTGTGTCCTCTCTCTCTCCCTGTACCTTTCTGCAGGTTGCCCTGGCTCTGGAGCTCTATGTCTCTGATGAGCAGTCACCGGCCACATCGACCTGATCAGTGTTTGATTGTTTGTTGTGTCTTGTTGCTTTCTTCTTTTCTCTCTCCTCTATCCACTCACCCCAACCGGTCGAGGCAGAAGGCCGCCCACCAAGAGCCAGGGTCTGTAGGAGGTTTCTTCCGTTAAAGGGAGTTTTT